GGGCAAATCCACTACAAGTAATTGTTAAGCACTTCTTATCTGTATTTCCTGAATAAGAATTCCAGAGCATGGCCTCTTTTGAAACTCTTCTCACCTGCTTGGGCATGATGCTGCTAGCTTAAATGTATTTCCTTCTGTTTTGAAATAAGCCACATGAGAGGATACTCTTAATGTTCTTGGCCAAATTGATAGTGCTATGTCCTGCCCTGGGAGTCACGAGCATTTGCTGTGTTCTTCAGAGATATGTATTTGCAATTAGTCATCCATACAAGGGGACTGTTTAGGACAAGCCTTTCCCCCAAAGCAGTTAATTCTTCAAAATGAAAATAATCAGATAATGAGTTCATTTCCGATTTCACATTTAATGCCAAACATTTTTGGGTAAACAAGATATGCTGGCAGAGTTCTGCTCTCATTGTATGTTTTTTATTAACTGGGAAACAGACAGTTGATTCTTATCCTCTCTATCAGCTCAAATAAATTACACATATTTTAGGAGGAGAGACTTGTGCAAACTGGCTGGCTGGTTTCAGTGTGCAAGCCCATCAGCCAGTCTGTGTAAACTGCACCCAGGCCCTGCTAGGAAGAAATGAAAACCTTTTAAGACCCAGCTTGGGAGTCTCCCATTCAGTGGAAAGTTTTACCACAGTAACTGGTATTCCTGCACCATGAAAATAAGGCAGCAGGGAGTCTATTGCTGGTGACTTTGCCAAATCAGACAGGCCCAGTGTTGGAGCCACTGGGCCATTCCTGCTGCCAGCCCCTTGGAAGTGCGAGGGAACTGATGGGAGCACCTGCTGTTCACAGTGCTCAGGACAGCAGACACTGCCAGGTATTCTGGGGCTGTGTTTTAAAGAGGTTGTGGAGAGAGGTGAGAATATAGCAAAGCATGGGACCAAAAGTATTAAATGCTGTTCTCTCCTCCTGGGGCTCAGCTTTGGTCAGAGGACTTGCTATGGTTTACAGACCTGCCAAGCAGAACAGAGTCTGGCCCAAAGTCTGGGACCTCTGAATCTTTCAAAATCAATACTTCTTTCCAGACAGAAGAAGCTGAAAAGAGAGAAATTGAAAAGATCTATTTGAAAGTGGTATTTATGACTTACCCTATGTCAAAAGTATTTAAAGAAGATTGTTCTTAAGGTGTCGTGAATTTTAGCAAGAGGTCAAAGGATTCACAGTAATTTCTACTTTTGAACATTGGAGATTTAATGTTTTATGCCTATTGTACAAGTAATATTCTTCCTATCTGTGCACAGTGAACTTCAACGTGTCATGAAGAGACCAGCCATTCATAAACAAAGCAAAACTGTCTTCCCTGTTAATCCTTTATATCAGCTTAGCACTTAGGTTGATGGTGCTTGTTCCTGTCCAAAGTGAGAAAAAAGGTAAAAGCAATCTCTGTGCAAAAGAACTCACAGTGCAAGAGGAGTCAGGAGACAAACACAGACAAGAGGCAGGAGTACCAAGAGAGCACTATGGATCAGCACAGCCTAAACCAGCAGTTAAGATTTCAAGCTGATGTTGCAGGAAATGAGTATTTCAAGGTAAGGTTTGAAAGAGAGCAATGAATTTATTTGCATAGATGTTTTTCTACTTTTTAAAGCTAGTGAGAAACAGTGTCAAAGAAAACAATTTTTCTGAATCCAGACTGCATTTTTAGGAAGACGTAATTGGCCCCAGAAGCCTCAGATTGAGTTGCTGGACAGAAAAAAAGATCAGTGATTGAGATGATTGTTTTTTCTGGTCTACAAAATAACCTCCATGACGACGGAGGGTGTATCAGAGCTATATGGTGCATCTGGAGGAAGACTTTGGCTCTGGTTTGCAAACTCTAGACAAATCCCAGCTTTGACAACTTTGCTGTATAGCTTCTGAGCTTTGAAAAGCAGTAACCTGAGATTTTTTTCTGGGGTATGGAGCAGAGGGAGTCTGGTGTTCACAAAATAAAGCCAATGAACATTGTGATTTCTGGGAAAAACAATATTTGCAGCGTGGGCTCCAGACAGGAGAAGCTGGTGTATTAGTAACATGTGACTGGAGGCAGTCTCAGCAGCACAGCTCTTGCTATCAAAAGAATAAAGGAGTGTCTTGAGAGAACTTCTCCCTTCCAATCCTCTCGTTAGCAGGGGAAAAGTGGAAATATTTTTCATTCTGCTGTCATTTTGAGGAAGAAGCAACCATTTGGATTTTCTTAATGCAGTGTTTAGATTTCAGATGACAGAAATACAACAATTCATAAGAACTCACGCCTCACACATGCTAGTTAACACATTCATGGCTGAGTTAAATGCTAAGAGACTCTGAGTCACTTAAATAAGAATTTGGTAAAATACAACCACTACCATACCCCACCCCCACACTGAACAGATAAATATATGTGGGTTGTTTTTTAAGAACCTTCTCATATTATTTATTTTTCTCTTTCAGTAATAGCCTGATTTGGAAAGTTTTTGTCTGGAGGCTGTATTTGCATAAAGCAAGTAGAGTCAATCTGCATTGTCCAGTGTCAAGGGAAAAAAAGAAAAAGCCTTCACAGAAAAGGAAGGCAGTTTGCTCTTGTGAGTTATCAGGAACTCGGTGCTGAAGGAAGGAGACGTTTTTGAGGAAAATGTTTCTGGCATGGGTCAACTGCAGGGGAGAAGCAGTACTGTACTGTGGATATGGTTCCACTAGGATATTGGGTATGTGCCCTGTTTTTGTGCTCTCAGAGCCTGTGCTCCCTGGTAGATTGATAGTGAGAGTTTGTTGCAATGTCTTAGGTTGTTTTAGCCACTTCAAGCCCTATACCTGGTGTTTGGGTTTAAAGAAGTTTGAATTTGCTTAAAAGTCTACAACTTTCCCATACAAATAGTGATTAGGTTCTGGGCCAGGTACATCCTTAATCCAAAGGTGCCTTCCGTGAACTACTCTGAAATTTCTGGTTCATGGCTGTTTTCTCAGGAATTGTTTTGTATCCTGTTGGTCTCCAGATGCAGGAACTTTAGTATTATGTGGTTTTTCAAGGAAAAAGCCTATGGTGAAGGAACACTTAGAAAAGCACCCAGCTTCTCTGCAGGGACCTTTGAGGAACTCCACTGCAAGAAAACAAAATGTTATATCTGAATGGAGTGATGTTTTTCAAATAGGTCTTAATGTTTTACCATCTGGTTTGCCTGCCTATTTCAGCTGTGAAGGGATGTTTGGCATGAGCACCCCATTTCATCACCTAGAAGGGTCACCAAATGGTATAGCAACACATGGTATTTATAACCTTTCGTTGACTTCTGGACCCCTGATACTCTAGAATATATATATATATATATATATATATATATATATATATGAATTTTGAGTAGGAATAGCCAATCTAGACTACTCCCTTGCCATCTCCAGGGTCTGCTGCAGAGCAAATGCCTCCCTGCTCAGACTCAGCCCTGACAGGGCCCCCACCTCTGGCAGAAATGTCCTGGATACCCGTGCTGCGACCTCCAACTAAATGTGTAGCACTGGTGGTTTGTCCTTCAAGTGTGAAGCCAGTAAGGACTCTCTACCACAGTTTTTGAACACATTTCCAAGTATGGCAGGGTTCAGTGGCAGGCACATAATAGGGCTTTTGGCATGTATTATACTGTGCTCAACAACTCCACTCTCTGATCCAAACATGCCCACCAAAAATAACTTCAGTGAACAGCTTTTATTTTAATTATTCCAGTGTGGAACTCATGAAGTTTTGCCAAAAATCTGGCTTGTAAAGCTTTTTGTACCTAAGCACAGAAACCCCTAGTGTGTAGTTAATCCCCTACTGGGATTTTCCTGATCCAGTCACAGGTCTTTTCTGCAACCTCATCTTTCTTTACCTATCCCTTGCTCTCTCTCTTCACCCTACCACCTCCTTGAATTCTTGCCCTTTCTTGGCTTCTCTGACTGTTCTTTCCAAGCTATCTCCTCTAATTTTCTCTTTTCTTTTCTTGTTCAATGCCACATTTAGTAGTGGATGGTGTTTTTTGGAGGTTCCACAGTAGTTCTGACCTCTGAAAATATTTCAGTGACATCAGTATGCGGACTCCTCTCTCTTCCCTTTATTCTCTCTGTCCAACCAATTACATGGCATAGTAACCAAAAAACTGCACTTTTGCCAATGACTTGCAAACTTGCCTTTTCCTAGATGATCTGTTTCATTTCATCACTGAGACTCTTTACACCCAGCCTGCTTCCCTTCTTCCCCATGTAGCACATGTGTATACATTTTTACCTGTAAAAGTCATAAAGCAAACATAAGAAAAAGGGATGTCTCTGTGACATGGTGGGACAAACTACTGGGCTGTGCAGAATACTTCCAGTGCCTGAGAGAGCTGACTATGGTAGTTACTCTCTCATCTCTATGCTGGATTATTTATTCAACCTTTTCTTCATCAAACCCTAATTTGCTTTGTGGGGAAACACTCACAATTTAGGATATTAGTATTTAAAGAAGTATTTGCTGTTATGATGTAAATAAGCTCAGATAGTTAATAAAATGTCCCTCTAAGAATATTAAATGTGAAGGAGAAAACAAAAAAAGTTTTGATATGATGTTCAGTTTGGTTGGGTTCATTTCCAAAACATGCCACAAGAGAAGGAAGAGGAGGAACTCTCTAGAGCAGGATAACCTATGGCATGATAGTTTTCAGCACAGGTGGGGAAAATACAGATTCCAATGCCTGGAGGGAAGTGAGCCCAGCTTTCCTGCAGTCTGAAGGAGTGCTCTGGTTGTAATTTGATTGCTGAAAGCAATTCTGGCAGCAACAGCGTCCACTCCTTTACTGTTGTGGTGGAGGAGGTCTGGCTAGCAGTGGAGGAGGATGGTAATCCCTGCAGATTTGGTCACCCTGAGATAGGTGACCAAATTCCTGCAGAATTTGGTCACCCTGAGATAGGTGACCAAATTCCAGAGAGGCTTAAGCTAATTCTAATACCTTCTAATGGCTCACTTCAGCAGCTCCTGCTCAGTCTTCTGTTTGGGATGTCTGTATTCTTTGCTTCCCAAACCTCTGGATCCCAGCATGCAAGCACAGTCCTGGAAGTCAGGAGCTGTGGTTTTCAGCCATGTAGGGCCTAAACATTGCTTGTGTCCAGGACAAAATATTTGTCTGTATTTATGTAAATGCTTAGCTTTACAGGGTCTGTGCTTACTTACCTTGATAAGTGCTTCTAAAAATAACAATATGGACATTGTGACATTTATGCACAGCATTCATATAACATCTGTTACAACATCTATAACACCATGCTGGAATTTATGGAGCTAAACCCTGGGGAATGTCTTTGCACCAGCTAGGAACAGACAAGATATGTACTTTTGAAAGAACCCCTTTGCATTCAGGATACTTTCAAGCTGCTGCTTACTAGCATGTTACCCTGTGTTTGACTCAGCCTGAAACACAGTATATAATACTGGTATTTTCATTTTGTCTCACATTTGGACTGTGCTCTGCTTCTGCTACTGTAAGTTTCTGTGTCTATGCAGTTGGGAATATGAAATTGGGGATTTTTGAAGGTCTGAAGGTCCTTCAGTGTCAAATTACTTTTGGAATTCTACTTCAGCACTTCCATAGGGCCCCAAGTATTCTTGGCAGTTTACAATAGTCCTTGTCCCAAAGCATTTAAAATACATTTCAGATGTGCCGAGAATAATAAATCTGGAAGGAGGGAGAGAAAAAGAATGAAATAATCCAGGATATAGTTACTGTATCAGTGATTATACGGGTACACTTTATTTTTAGAGCATTTAATTATTTTTTATTGACTTACATTGTGACAGCATAAAGAATGTTTCTAGAAATCAGATTTGAATTAGAGAGTTTTACATGAATTCTGACTGTTTTTGAAAGAAAGAGTTACAAACACTAGACTTCATTATCCTGTAGAAAGACTAGAAAAAAATGGTTTATTCATCTTCTTTTCTTCAGTTACTCTTTTCCAAATATACTGATGCATTTGCCCATCTGTGATGGAAAGTATAGATAACTGAGAAACTTTTGCCTTATGGTTAGTGCAAAGAAAACAGAACATAAAGTTCTGCTTTATTATAAGAAGAGGGATGCTGCAACATTTGAGCAAGTATCAGCCAGAAGCTGTTTAAAAAACCCTAAACCAAAAAATTTTTAAAATAATCTGAAATAATGGGAAAGCTTCTACTTGAAAAATTTAAAACTTTTAAAAAACAACAACCTTGGATCATGTAGATTTGGTGCCTACTCACTGGAACATCATCAGATCTCTCTTGTTTTGCTTGGGCCTCACTCAAACATAACTGGCCTCAAGCTAGTAAGCAAGCCAGAAAATGTCCTGGCTTGTAGAGAAATCTGATCCAACTCTGTAAACCAAACCCAGCCTAAGAGCAGTGGTGAGGGGAACATATGGAAAATTAATGACAGATAATAGAATGGTGGGACAGACTTAAAGAAAAGATTGTTGAGTTTATGCAACAATGCCAGCTAATGGTTTTCTGAGTTAAGAAAGTTATAGAGTATCTGAGCAATATTTTTGACTTAGCCAGCACTTAAGCTCTAGAAAGGGCTGCTGTGTTTCTCCTGTCCCATTGCACATTCTTGATACCTGTAGCTGCTGGTTCAGCTGCAGCAGCACTTTGGGAAGCACAGAGATCCTGGTCCCCACCTGTTTAAATAAATGAGAGCCTCAGGAAGAGGAGTGCATTGGAATTTCCTTGGGCTCAAACTGGGCATAACAGCTAAAGCCAGGCTGAGTGCTAGAAGCCTGCCCGAGCACTGGGAGGAGGAGATGAGGGTAGTGTATGTGTTTTCTTTTTTTCTCTGCAGACCTCCAGGCATTTTGCAGAGATAAGGTGCTTTGTGTATGATGTCACAGACGGGGAAATAGTCCCAGGGAGCTCATCCTTTCACAACCCCTCTCCAGTGAAGAAACTGGAAATGGAAACAGAATGAATGGAAAGAATTATTGTGGTGAAAGTGCATGTATTTCTGGAATACACAAATCATATATTTATTTGGGTGATGGCCTAGGATGTGCATTTAGGGTAGACTGTGAAATGTGACACCTTAGAGTAGCTATTTTGTACCAAGAGAAAAGTGATCCTTTTCCCCTCATTCCTCCACTTTTGTTTTATTGAAGACCAGCTAACATCCTAACATTCTTCCTGCCTGGATCCTAAAACGTCTCTCTCTCTTCCCATGGCTGCATCCATCCTGCTGCACAGGCAAATGTTGAGGTTGATTTGCCCACTTGGAGACCCTTTAGGCCAAAAGTTGTGCAACTCGCCTGTTCATCTGGGTGTTAAAACAACTCTTGTGCCTTTCAATATACTTATTTTTTCTTCCTGAACCTGTTGCCTGTTGCCTTAGGACCCTTCCCAGAAAAACATTGGGGAGGCTGTAGAGAAGACCATGCTTACCTCAGATTCCTGAAAAGCAGGCACTGAGTGTCTCTGAGGTCAGCTCTAAGCTTCTCTCCCTGCTCAGCTGAGAGGACAAATGGATTTTGCCAATAAAAGTTGTTCAAGTGAGTTACTGCATCTTTACTGGAGTTTCGAGGAATCAGGGTGTCAACAAACTGGTGAATTCAGCAGTTTACATTAAACAGATTATCATATTAGACCATCATAAGGATTCATACTAAGCATAAAAATGGATGCCTATATAACTAATAAAAAAGAAAGCTGACTTGTATAGGACAAAATGAATATGTAACACACAAATATATAAATATATCATATATACACATACACAGTGGTAATTGTAATACCTGTAGTATAACAAAAAGCTTTAATTATGTGTGTGGGGTGATTTAGCAGACAAACTTTTTTTTTCCCCTGAGAAGTAACTTTTAAGCCACTTCACATGGCTCAGAGACTTGGGAATTGGTATCAGTGGGAAAGGGAAGAAATGAGAAATGTTTAGAAATACCAATGGTACCAAACATAAATATTTCTCTTTCAGGTTTGTTAAACCTGTTCTAATCCTTTTTGGTTCCTGAGGAGGAGTAAAGCAGCCTAAAGGTAAGACTTATGATGTAAAAGAGTGTTTTCTATGACCTTGCTAAACCTATGAACTGATCAAGGGAGGTGATAGCACCAGAGTGCACAGTGCATGTTTTACTTTTCTAAAGTCTAGAAGATTCAATACATCTGAAATATAGCAAAAAAATCTTCCTGCAGGGCAGTAGGGTTGTCCTACTGACAAGAGGGAGCTGTATTCTTTTCTCATCACCTCATAAACAGTAGGGTTCTGACTGAGGATGTTAGGTAATGCTTGCCACAGACAGAACTCAAAGTGAGTATTACTTTCATTGTATAACCCTTTGAGATCTGAGGCAGTATTGTTTAACAAAGCATATTGTTTTCCCCTCTTGCTTTTACTGAGCTTTGATGCTGATTTTAGAACTTGACAGCTGTGTTTAGACTTCTCTTATAGAGAGGGGGAAATAGAGATATTTGGGGCAGCAGGCAACATGAACTGTGTGGAGGGAACAGAGTCAAAATTTGCCTTGTGGAACTGTGGAATTGATCCACAATGATGAACTTCAGGCCACCCTCCTTTTGGGAGACTCCTTAGAGATGAAGGAGCTGCTGGTCCCTGGTGCCCCACCCAGAGCTGTGTGCTGCAGGGAGGGACTCGTGGCCACTTGTCACCATTGTTGAAAGGTGTGAGCTCTAGCTAGGCCTAACCCTGCCTTTGGTTGGGATTGGCATCCACAGGATCTTAATAGACCACCAGGACTGCTTGATTTTCCCTGTAGTGCTCTTAATTTTTGCGATGTTTAGGTATGAGTATTTTGTATGGCAAAATAATTAGAGTGGAAGAATAATTATTAGGAATGGTCTCTGAAAAAAGAAAAAGTCACAATTTGTTACAGCTGATGTAATAAATGAAGAGGAAACAAACTTTTTGTCCTTAGGTTCAAATCACTAACATCAGTTCTTGTAGAATTGTGTAAGTTCCTTCTTTGTGGTATAAGAAAAGTGTATAGTTTGTCATTGTTAAGTAGCTGAGTTTGGGCCCATCTTTGAATAACTATGGATATCTTGTTCAATATCTGAAAATTGTGATATTCTGCCGTCTCTGCAGATACCAGAGGAGAATGTCTTGAATGAGTTAGTGGGACTGCACACAGAAAACCAGGGACTGGGCTGAAATAATAGAAAAAAAGAACATTCAAAACTAATAAAATAGAAATCAGCACAATCCTATTCACGTTCTGAATATCTCGTCTCTCCTCTCATCACCTCTCCTCTCTAATGTAGAAGACCAAAGAATCTTAATTCTCAACTTCTGTAAGGTACCATGCAAACAAGGGCTCTTAATAATTGTTTGTCACAATATTGTTTGGTTTTCCTTTGAGAAAATGATATTTCAATGGTGTTTGTTTAAGTCATAGCACTGAGCAGAGGATCCCTGAGTTTCAGTAAGATTGTATCAAAAGGAAGGTGCAAAACCCCAGGTAGCCTCAGATATTTGTTTCTATGATGTTTAGGTACATTCTTGTTTCCAAGACAGAGTGACTCTTATAAGCACAGAGCCCTGGGCAGCTTCTACAGTTTCTCTGTAGAAACACCACCTCCCCAGACCATGGGCTTGTCTGTGCTGTAAAAACACTTCTCCCACTCTGTTATGGGATGTCCTCGACTTTGTTTTCTTACCTTCTTTCTAGAACTTGTTTGCCTTTGGCAGCTGATGGATGTGGCATGATGAGCAATCCTTGCCATCCATTGCACACACTTAAACACAGTTTGAATTAATTTTTAACTGGGTATCAGAAACAAAGATAACTTAATGGCTACAACTTTTAACCATTTCACAGCTCAGTTTAGCATACTTCTAATCAGCATACTTCTAAGCCAATATCATATAGTTTGTTATGGGTCAGTATCATTTGTATCCTGTATAAATGAAAATTAGAAATTCAGAGGCTTTATTTGGGCACTGAGTCCAACCTGCATTTCTTTTCAAAGAACAAAATGTACTACGGGATTTTAACTTCTAACATAAGATGCTAAACAATTTCCCTATAACTTAGCCCCTAAGTTTCAGTCATTTTAGAGAGGAAAAAATCTAAAAATTCTTAGAGTATTTTTTGGCAATTTAGAACCAGACCCGCATTTCATTGCTTTCACAATTCTTAATTTTCAAACCGCTGTGTTTGGTGGAAATGTCTGGAATGTGGAGTATTGTATTTAAAAATAAAGCAAAACAATTCTTAATAGTCAGTCTATCATTTAGTTAAACAACATCCCATACCCACATCATTCTGGAAGCTGGGAGTAGTGAGGAGAGGAGAAGTAGTGGAAAGAAAAAAGCATTAGGAACAAAACTGTATATACAATGGCCAGTATTAATCACCCTGAGGTTTGGAACAAATATGAAAATGTAAATTAAACAACTGCCTTTATTCCATAAAATACTTAAAATGCTAGTGCAAGATTTCAGAGGGTGCAGTGTTTAGTTCCCAAGAAAACTGTATGAAAGGCCAGGAAGCCACTTCTTCTTGGTTAGCCTTTTACCAAGGATCAAAGCAGAAAGGTATCTCATTTCCATGTATAACTTTGAAGTGCTTTATAAAGAATTTCAGAAAATGCGCCTTAGAGTATTTCTTACCAGGCTGCCTTGCATCAGAAGAATAAATAAAAACTAGAATGTCTCTTTTCTGGAAGACATACCAGTACTGTATTGCTCAAAACTTCATCTAGTAATCCTTAGTTTGTGAAGACCAAGAGTCAGACAGGTTTTTTATTGCCTTGGGATAATTTTTCTTTTTCCTCTGCTTTCATAAACCTTCCATATGCTTCTACATCTATGTCTTGTTTTCAATTTTAGTGGAGGTTTTTATTTGGAGTCTCATAAAATTCTAATTTATTGCAGCTTCTTTTGTATAAAATGCAGAGGGGAAGAGGGGAGTATTGAGATAGCATGTGCAAGGCGGTCCCAAGGAATGCATTTGAGAATTTATAACGTTGAGTAGTTTATCAACCTCTGCTTCAGTTATTGGCAACTACGTTTCCTAACTCTCCAATCTATGAGCCTGTATTCTCATGTTGTGTGTTTGACATTGTCATATCAGTCTTTTTAAGTAAGAAAGTGTTCTTTCTTACTTATGCAGACTGTCTGCATTTGCAAAGAGTGAAGGGAAATCAGGTAAAAGAGCCTGCCCAGTACATGATATGCTCCTACAGCTGTCAGTTCTCACTGTTCTCTTAGGGACTCATTTCCATGAGTGTGTGCTATTTGTTAAATACTCATAAGAAATAAGATAGGAGTGATATATCCCTCTGGAAGTCACAGATGACAGCTGACCATTTCCTAGGTTAGGAGCAGAGTGTTTTCCTTGGAGGGAACAGGAATACATCCAGGCTTACCTACTTGTGCTCTGTTCAGATTTGACTCAGGACCAAACTCAACAAAAAGGAACAAAGTGTATTTCCCACCAGCAGAGCTGTTTTTCCTTGTCCCTCTGGTGTTAAGTTGACCAATCTAAATGAAAACCTCATACTTCAAATAGTGAAGAATTGTGGTGCTAATGTGTTACCATGGCTAAAAGTTACTGTGAAATTTCAAGTAGTCCCTGGCTTCAGAGGAATGAACACAATCTTTTTTGAGCAAGGAACTACATCACTTTTACATAACTAAGTGATGTGCTGAAAGCATCTGTGAAAACAACTGTCCAGAGTTAAGGGTATAGTGCAAGGGTACAATGTACATAGATGGTGTCATCAAGCAAACCAGTAGTTTAAGAATTTTGTGCAGATGACAGGTATACTTTTGCTTATATTGTATGTTTGATATACATATAAACATATGTATGTACACACATGCAGGTATTTTCTGAACATAGTCTTCTTTGTGAGTGTGAACCCCTTCCCACTCTGTATATGTTGTGGTATATCAGTAATACAACACTTGTGAGGTTTAAATGTTTGAGGAGAAGACCCTCCTGGAAAAAGTTCACAGGGGTGGGTAAACCTAAGTACTGAAAGAGAAATTCAAGTCCTGTAGCACATTTGAAATCTGTTCTTACAGGAGCTGTAAGGAAATATGAGAGCTGCTCTGCTGGAGAGAAACTGCTGGGCACTGGACCCATTTTTTTCTCCTCTAAGTAAAACATAGAATAGGCTTTTAACTGTCTTTTCTACATAATAGCTACTTAACTTGTTCACTAACATTAAGGGAAAAAAAAGGAAAATTCCAAGAAAATTCCTGTTCAGAGTAAAAAATATAAATTAAAGCGAAGTGCGCAATGCACACCCTTTTCTTTCTTTCCTGTTTTGTTTGGTGTTTTTTGACTCTGCTTTTTGGACAGCTGAATGGGGGCTGGGAAAGTGTTTACAATATTTTCACATGATTGAGATGGCAGAGTTCTTGCACTCTGTGAAAGGCCTTCTGTTTTCAGATGGCATTGAAAGTTTACCGTCTTTCCAGACAAAAGGAAGAGAGCCCGTTGCCAGCGGATGAGTAATGGGCATGGCCTCCGCACAATACCTCCTATCCAGTCCTAAATCTACATGGTGTTCTTAGGCTCCCCGGCTTCTCCAAAGCAACCTTTGTCTCTGCTCTGGGAGACCAAAACTGCTCGTTGGGCAAGTGGGGATGCAGCCAAGAGGGGAAGGCTCAGTGACAACAGTTGCTCAGTGCTCAGTGCCCAGTATCTGCCTCCTTACCATGCCACTATAATAGTTGGGAACCCGTCAACAATTGAGCATCTTCTATACAAATATGTTGCAGACCATCTGTATAGTTTTCAGTTCCAGAAGATTCCAGTAACTCACTAAGTTTTAATACTTTTTTTTTCTTCTTGTTACTCTGATGGACTGCCCTGAGATAAGTGATAAAAGCAAAAGTCTGACATAATTTCTTCGGAGCTAAAACTGCACAGAAGTTGCCAATTCCTGTATTTGTTTTCTTACAAGAAACTTGAAGCAGGCATTTTCCACTCTTAACAATTTTAAGGTGCTATCAAGTCATCTTTATTTTTTGGGTCAGAAAAACATTTTGGTGAAAACGATTGCTAACATAATCTTAGAAAATATTTGAACAGGCAATTCTGAAGTTTTTCCAGAGACTTGGTGTTATAGAGACCAGTAGGTAATTTTTTCTCTTGTTTCTCTTACAAAGCTTCCTAAAGCTTGTCTATTTGGAATTTATCTAAATGTGTATATGTGTATTATAGGTTGCCTATGTGTGGGGCATGTATGTGTGTGTATGCATGTCTCTGTCTCTGTGTACCGGTCTGAAAGAACTTGCATTTCACTGTGCTGTAAAGAGCATGAAGAAGAGCTTTCTAAGAATTAACTAAGCATTCATTAACTGCATTTAATTTTGACTATGTTCTTGGCTAAGAAATGTCAGTATTAAGTTCTTATTCTTTCATGCTAATTTGGTGTTGCATAGCGACTCATGTATTGTTGTCAGGAAAATAGAAGCAAAGACGTAAGAGATGCTGGATTTCTTAAGGGTTGGTTGTAGCTGGTATCAGCAATTTACTGACTAACCTGTAGTAACCTGTAGTGCTGACAGTCCTGGGTAAACAAGCAATGCATTAAGGTTATTAGCAAAACAATTTTCTAAATTACCTGAATTGAGCTTTCAATGCAACTGATTCTATTCTTTGGACTTTTTTTCTTTCCCCCCCTCACGCCCTCCTGTTGGGTTTTTTTTTGAGGAGTTAACAATCTAAAGCAGCATTAAAATAATCTGGCTTAATTTCCTCTGCTGAAAGAGCAAGTCAGCTGAAATTTGGACATTTTGCTGAAAAGTGGGGGAAAAACCAGGTATTTTTTGTTTTAAAGGGCATGACCATACACATTCTGTTCTGGTGCCTTTAAGGGGAACTTCCCGGTTTAAATGCCCTTGAGCAGAGAAATACCAACACCTCTTAATTGTTTAATATATTGCAGCCTAAAACATTTACAGAAGTGCTTTCCAAGTACTTCACTGTTCCAGGTGCTTGGTCCTGCACCTCCTAAAATAATAGGCTATTTCCCCTCAGTTTTCCTGTGCTTGGTGCCACAATGAAACATATGCTCTGTATCAAGGGAAGGGGAAGTGAGGGAAGTAAGTGGGATGCCTGACATTGGTGCTGGTGCTTGCGGCATACACAGACCTCTCTGTCTTGCGTCACAGAGCTGCTAAAGAAGGAGAAAATAACATGGCTTGTACTTGGGCTGTAAAGTCCAAGGAGAAAAATATCATATTGTTAAGCCTGTGAATGTCACTCTGCACAAAGATCCCTTATCACTCTGTCCTCTGAGAAGCACCACAAAAAGTATAATAATTCTACTAATCAGGAGGGCTGGACATACATCAGTGCACAGCACAGCTGTCTTGCAGCTGCCTTAGGACCATGCTCCAAAATGTATTTATTCCTTCATGGAGGTGTCATGAAGCCAAAGTCCGATGTCTGTCACATATGACCATGTTCCAGACTGAGGCAAAAAGATTATTTGGAAAAAAAAATTATGCCTTATTTTGATCCAGGAGGGATAAAGTAAGATACAGTTTTCTTGGCCTGTGCTTAAGTAATTTATTTTTTAACTTGCTTAACCAAAATGGACTGAGTTTTTTCCCTACTCGAGAAATAAATCTCCTAATACAGAGCACTTAGGGCTCCCTAGGTTCTGTGAGACTCTGCCCTGACATATCAGGATTTGAGCTGTGCTGTCACTCTTATCATCACATCCGTGAGCTGTGCAGTGCAGCCATGCCACAAGCATGGATAACCCCATGAGCACTGGGTGAAACTGGGCAGGCAAAGGGACTTAGTCTGGAAATGCATTCTCAGAAAGTTCTTCTTGAAAATCCTCCCTACTGTGCAAATGCAGGCTAATGAAAATGGTTTAGAGAGCTGGGGTCTCAAGCCCTTCCAATAGTTGTGTGTAAGGGAGCAGCAGCTGGATGGTTTCCAGCAAGGAGCTGGAGAGAGAGAGGCTCTGTCTGGCCCGAGGGAGGAGATAATGTGGAGTTAAACAATTCTGTGAGAGTGGAGGACTGAATCTTTCCGTGGCTGCAGTTTCCATCAAGCACTTCCCAGCACAGTTGCCTGCCATCCCTTTGAACCCACGTCTTCCATGTGACAGAGCAGTGATCTGGCTGCTGAGCCACTAGACTAATATTGTTCTTTTAATCTCACAAAAATGTGTTATAAAAGAGTTGGATTCACATGAGAAATTAAGTGTAAGATCTGTCCTCATAAAGACATTATACCATGAATGCTCTTTCTGCTGGCTGTAAGAATAGGTGGCTCAAGGGTGAAAGGGTAGCATTTACATTTAAATACACCTATTGGAATTGCACAAACAGAAGGCTAAAGCTAGTGGTCCCTCTCTGAATGCTTTTAGAGTTTGCTGCTTTTTTTTTACATAGTAGCATCTTTTTTTTTTTTTTTCCTAATCAAAAAGGGGAATTGAGATGCTTAAGATCGCATAAAATAAAGTAAATGAGGTTTTTGTGCCAGCAAGATAAATGGATGAGCCTTTTCAAAGTAAATGTTTTACTTTTTTCATCTGTATGTGCCACTCAGGAGGTGAAATCCAGATTTCAACCAGAGCTTTCTCTGCTGTTACACTAACTGGTAGTGCTGGCTTGGTGGATGCTGTTTACATTTCCCAGAGAAAATCAACTGCACTTTTTTTTTGGTTGGTTTTTTTTTTTTGCTTTGTTTTTTTGTTTGTGTTTTTTTTTTTTTTTTTTTTGTTTTGTTTCTGCCAAATCCAGATTTACCCTGTGATAAAACAGAAAGCTCCTTAACATCTGGACAAAACAGAAACTGAAACAGGGTGGAAAGGGCATTTAGTGCAAGGATAGCCTGGCAGCCATGGTGCAAGCTCAGTGAAACCCTTGAAATGCACCTGCTTGACCCAGGCCAGAGCCTATTCCCTTTCCTCTGCAATATCTTTCTCCTCTCTGTACACTGACAGAGGCTTATGGGATCTCTGGGCTTACCTTTGCTCTTTAGGATTTCTAATTAAAGAAAAAAGAAAGAAAAAAGAAAATAAAAAAAGAAAATAAACAAAACCCCAAGTGTATTTTCCTTGATCTTTTTCTTCAAATTTTTGATGGCTCTTTTCTCGTGACTTTCCACTATGCACACAAGGACCAAAACAAAAGTGCATGAATAAATGCCTTAAAATTACAATGTAGCTGGAAATCAGAAATCAGGAGCTCCATGCTGAACAACTTTTGCATATACTTCCTGTTATGTATTAAATTACTACACAACATATAGCTAATAACACAAATCATTAAATATGTTCCAGATACCTCTGAATATTTAAGAACTTGGAATCCAGATCTGGGTGTCTCAGTTTCTTAATATGTACTTAATAATTTTTCGATTGAATATGTATGTAAATCTGCTATCTTAATATATAACTTGGACAGTGGGGAATACTAAGTAATTAAAACAAAAATAATCAAATGATATGTAAAATGAATCTCTGCAGAGTGAAAGGATCCCATCATCAAAATACATGCAAAGAAAGGAAGAATGAAGGAATTCATAACACCATGGTCAGTATCCCTTTATGGGTCCTTATTTTTAGAATATATCTGACTGTATTTTGTTTGGGTTTTTTACTGTTTTGGCCTATACAACACTGAGTGTCTGTATAAAACAAAACAGTGTCTCTCTTGGTCTTCCTAGTCTTGCAAGTACTAGTCCTCCTAGTAAGTCTGCCTAACTTTTATGGTCTAAGAAATGCTGAATAATTTTTTCCTGTATACTTTCTTGATTTTTAATAATTTTATGTCAACTACTCATCAGTAATCTTTTTTTCCAAGCCAAGGAATCCTCTGCCACCTAAACTCTCCATGTAGAGAAGTTTTCTACACGTCAGATAATCCTTGTTGGACCCTGCTTTAGTTCTCCTCCTTCTGCTATGCCTTTCTGGAGGTGAGGGCTCAGAGGTGTGTTCAGTATTCACTCTGAACATCCTCAACATTGTTATTCTTCCCCTCAAAAGGACTCTTGGAGTGCTGTGTACTGTCTGGTTGGTAGTGAGCATTGGGATGACATTCTATTGGAGTTTAAAGGTCCATTTTAAGGAGGATTTATCCTCATGGCCCACAGATTCATACAGCCATATTACCTGAATTCAGAGGATTTTATGTTCCCTGCAGGGCAGTTTAGACTAAATTTCATACCTATGTTTTGAACTTGCAGTACAATGAATGTGCCTCAGTGCTCCTAAAGGAGGAATCCCTTCCAGCATCCAACAGCCAATATTATGTGCCTCAGCCCATTGAAAATTTAGGCAAAAATTATCTTCTGAGTAATAAAATAGAAAGTAAAGCCTGTATTCAAAAAGTAGAGGGGATTGTAGATGTTCTGAGGTTCTGGTTCCTGGCCTCAGTTTCCTGTTTTCAGTAGTACTGTAACAAAAATTGCAAAGTTTTTTCCAAGAAAAAGAACCAGAATCAATCTACTACCACTATTTGAGAGGTAAGTAATTTCTCTTGTTTCTGGAGAAACTTGTCAGGTTTCTCTTCCAGGTCAAAGAAGGAAGCTTGTAGTTGCTTCTGGGTTGTCATATCATTAGACTGTGGTCAGAAGATGGTGGAAATTGCTGTTTGAGGTTAGAACCAGACACCTCCATTCCAATTCAGGCAATATTATTGGATATGCGCAGAGAAGTTACTGAAAGGTAGAAATTACTAAAAGTTTAGTATCATGAAAATATATCAAGCATAGCTCAGCTACAATCAAATATTTATTTCCTAGTTTGAGGCTCTCATTTTACACTTTGAATGAATAAAATACAGCCTGACTAAACACAGGTTGTGAGACAAGTGCAAGCTCTCCTTAGAGGTTAACAACCTGATTTCTGTCTCACACCAGTTTTATGGTCATTTAGCTCCACTGACTTTGGTGGAATGAGTCCTGATTTACAGCATTGCTTCAGTGCAGGTTTAAAGCTGTGCTACACAGTAGCAGCGCTGGTGTCAGATCTTTGGGAGCAAAGTCTCTTTGCATTGTGCTTGCCACAATAGTATCAGTTCTGATGCCATAAAGTAAATATTTATTAAATCTCCATCCATAGAGAACATATTTTGCAAAAATTATTTTGGTTCCTCATTTGTGGCATTATTTTATCATTTAATATCAGTTATGAGGTTTTGGGGTTTTTGGGGTTTTTTTGGGTTTTTTTTTTTGGGTTTGTTTTGTTTTGTTTTGTTTTTTTGTTTTAATTTTATTTTATTTTTACCTCTAGTGATTTATCACTTACTGAGGTAATCCTGGGGTTTCGGATCAGAAATACAGGTCAGAGGTTTACAAAGTCCATATTTGTGCATAATTTTGGTTGGAATACATACCATAAAACTGAAATTAAATCTAAAAATTGCTGTTAAGTTTAAGAACATAACCCTAGGAACTAAAAAGATAGAATTAGTAATTTTAGGCATGATTTGGAAATTAGTTTATCTCCTGTTATCTCTCCTAAGTGTGATTGTAAGTTTGCACGCAATGGACTACCCTTTCTTCAATTTAATGTGCACCACCATAGGAGGTCTCCTGTGCTGCTTTTCTTACCTCATATTGACTTCCTAGTGTAGAGTAGGCAGGAAAAAACATCTGAGTGAATGCATCTTATCAAGCAATGAGAATATGTGCTCTTAGCTTGACTCATGTTGAGACAAAATACTGTGGGAAAGCTGTGCAAGCTGAACAGAATAAACTTTCAGTCTGCTTCTCTGCTAGGCAGATACAACCTTGCCTGCTGGAGCTCTCCTTTAGGATCTTCAGCTCATGTAGGCTGAGGATGTGAAAGGACACACGTCCTTTTGATGTCGCTCTGGTGTACTGCTTAAATTGCCAGAGTTCACTCTTTGGAGTCCTTAGTCTGTCACTGGGAAGCTGTAGAATGATCTTCCTTGTGAGCCAGCTCTTGTTTTCTTATCCAGTGCAATGGCCATGTTCTCTGGAGAAGAGATCAGCTGCCTTCTCTTTCCCCTTAACACAATCTGAAGTGTGGTAGGAACATCAGGAGGGCAGGGCAGCATTAAAAAGAAGGATTTGTTTCCTGAGAGATGGCATTGTTTCTCAGTTCCCAGCAGCAGAAACTTTAAACTAATGACCTTTCCAGAACATGTAAGCCAGCTGAGCCCAAGACTCATGTGCATTTTGATGATTTGATATTTTGTTATGATCACTTCTAGCAGGGACAGTGTCTTGCAACATCATATTAATGATAATAATAAGTAAAACCATACTCCCTTTTCTGCCCTGGAAACAACCTCCACCATTATTTACCTAATGGGTCTTGAGGGGCTTCTAAGCTTTTACAGTTGTCAGGGCCGGTGCAAGACAGACTCTGCCAAAAGAACCAGGTATTTCTAGTGCCACTTCTGTGTTTTTCTTCCTCCCCCTCACCCAAATCCTGACTTTAGGGAGGGAGCAGATATTTTTTCTTCTGTGCCTGGCTTGCTGAGAGAGTCACATATCTGTGGTCTGTTTGCTCAACATTAGCTGTGCTGCCCAAGAGTGAAAGCAAGCATGGAGTGTAGATTCTCTCTGACTTCTGTGGGATCTGGAGCAGATCCATGAGGAATGCTACTGTTTTCAGCACTTCCCTTGCTCTGCCTAAGAGCAGGCACACTGAGATATGAATGTTATTACAGCTGCCACATACTATATATAAGCTTCATGTTGATGATTATTGCTTTAAACTAGGAGGTCTTTGTTTAAAAATGTTTTCTTCCCTCTAGAATCTACCAGGTTGAGTTGTACTTAAAGCAGTGCTTTCTATTTTTTTTGCTGTCAACAGTGTACCTGGACTTTCACAGTTTGTATTTGTTAAAAAATACTGTTTATTTATTTATTTGTTTGTTTGTTTATTGTGCAGACAGCTTTATAGTACTGGAGAACTAGCTCTGAATTATTTGAAACAAATTGGCCTGTTCATTTTTCAGTTGTTCATATAATTTTCTGTTTTGGTTTCTTTATTACTTCTAGTGGATCTGTTTCAATTCACTCCTTCAATTATACTGATTTTCTTTAAAATATCTTGAATATAATATCTTTAAAATATAATGAACTCTGTTGCATTTCAGAGAGATGCATGGTCAACTCATGTCACTTCTGTCACCCTGCTGAATGCCATGTAACACTGCCAATGCTTGGAAGCACTGACTGCTGGCATCTGCAAGATGGAAGGAAAGGAAGACCTGGACGCATTGACTACATCTAAACTGTTAAACAAAATTAGTCAGAGAATTTTCCTGGAGGCCAGCTGGCATGAAAGAGCTTGAATTCACACAGATAAACTCTCTTGCCCTCCAAATCATGGTGGCCACATCCAAAATATCTACTGGAGATGGTGCCTGACTTGGGTCAATACCCAAGCTGTGCTTTGGTATTGACCAAATTCCATGTCTGGAAGAGCATTAGCAGTCTTGAACCAAAACCATGGCAGGGACCAGTTTAGTGGTATGGATGGTTTCGGGCCCATGCCTTGCTGGTCTTGTTTAGTTTATTTAATGTCAGAGGGAAACCTCAGTAATTCTGCCAGGAGTCAACAGGAAACGCCTTCTGGCCTCATCAACCAGAAGCTGCTGAGAAGTATAATCATTAGGTTGTTCACCTCCTTCACATTTGGATTCTTTTCCTTGTGTTATTTTTTACCAAATGAGCACTGAAAATTTTTGAAATCTCATAGAGTAATAAAATTGGGTTGTTGCCTGCGCAAAACTTGTTGGTTTTGAACTACCAAGAGATTTCTCACACAAGCTGAGCTTCTGTAAAAGCCAGCTTCAGCTCTCCTCCCTGATGAAGGGTCTCCTATGGCTTTGAGCAAGTTGCTAAGAGCTTGTGTGACCAGCCCCCTGTTTGGATACAGGGGTAAAAAGCAATGAGGTGTTGAGATACAAACACACCATTTGCTTGAGGTCACATAAACATGCTGAACTGATGTGAACATAAAATTTCCCTTGATTTCTGTGGCAACTTATTTCATATGTCTGGGTGGGCAATTTATTTTAAACCCTGCAAAAAGGACATGACTACGTTGTTATAGCAGGATCTTTTCAAGGTCAGAGCTCTGGGGTTGGCTTTGGGTAAGCCTGATATGTCCTTCATACAGTGTGGGGTAGGGGAGAACTCCTGCTCTGTGTTTCTAGAGCTAACTTTGTGCAATGGTACCCCTGATTATCCTATGGAACACTCTACTTCACAGTTTTGTGTTATACTTCTGCCTGCAGCAATATAAATCAGAATCAGGTAATTAATGCCTGAATCTTTTTCTCTATTCTGAAGATAAATGGCAGTGAAGGCCGAGTAGTTTTAAAAAGCTCATAGTACAAAATTATCGTATTAGACCATGCTGTATTACTGAGATTACAGAAAATTACCTACGTGTATTGAATTAAACCATGATTTTCCAATGGTCTCAGCAGCAGAACTGGGACAATTTCATCATTGCATTATCAGTTTGGTAGGTAATTAGTATCCTGAATTGCTTCTCAGAATGAAAAAATGGTATTGTTTTATCCAGAAACTAGCCCTTTTTTAACTTGCAGCACTAGCCCTTACTTTTCTTAGACCTCAGGCATGAATTTCTGAGGCTGACAGGTACTGATTTCAACAACACTTAGAGCAGTGCATGTTTTGCCTCGGGTTTGCTGCAGGATGGGTGTGCTCTTAATTAATGTGGTCATTTGATGTACAGCACCTTGCTGACTATTAGAACTAGATTGTGTGCTTTTACCCAGTGTTCCTTTTTGAGTAAAAAGTCTATTTCATAATTTACTTATTCATGGGTCAGTCTCATAAAGAAGTTTGTAGAGCCCTACTTGTGTATAGTCATACCTGGAACAGGCTGTGTAAATCTTATTTAATGAAAATGTTATGAAGCAAAGAATCGAGTTATTGCCCAGAATTATATACTCAGAAATTGTCAATTTTTCTCTGAGCTGGATTTTGAAAAGCAGGAAGTATGGTAAAGCAGAGGAGGAGCATTTAACCTTATCTATTTTGCCTCCCTTTTCCTTCCCTTTTCTGTCTTGCCCCTCAATCTTCAAGCCCTCTCCCATGGATGCTTGCATATGGTAGTGGCTCTACTCAGGCCTGCTGAGACCAGCGCATCAGTTAAGGTTTGTAAGGCCACAATGTGTTTATTTTTGCAGCCTGATCTTGTGAGAAACTGAGGAGGTCTTGCATCTCCCTCCTACTGATAACAGTGGTGTTGAAAGAGCTCTGTGCATTCCAGGGCAAAGCCTTGGAGGTTAGAGAGCTTCTAACTCTCCTTTGGAAGTACATGCAGATTCCTTTGGCCTTCACTGGGGGAAAGCCTGGCTTCTCACTAAAGAAAAAGAAAAGAAAACAAAGAAAACCTAAGATACAAACCCCCAACACAATACTCATGGTGGTCCAAATAAAACATAAAAACCCCAATCTCAGCCCAAGCACTCAGTCTAGGGAGGCTTTGCAATTAGGGGCTTGAAGCTCGACCCAGGGCTGAGTCATGGTCTCTTTGTGGAAGAAAGGTACAGGCTCTGGCCATGCTCAAGTGAGCTTTGGTGTGCAAGGATGTAGCCCAGAGGCCTGGGCTGGTAGTCCCTGCCTGCTGGCTCAGTGCTCATTCATCCTGCACAGGCTCTGAGCTGCGCTCTGCAGCCATCACCCCAGGCTTCATCTCAGGCTCTTTTTGACCCTCTTTGGCTGTTTTAAAGCTGGATCCTTTCAGCTTATGTTCTCTCTCAAGCAATTTGCTCTCCTCCCCCCCTGCCCCTTCTCTACTTCCACAACTGAACTCACTTTTCCAAACTCCCCATTCCACCATCTATCCACTCCATATGTTTATATTTTCCTATTGCTGAGGCATGGCATGCTGACCTGCCTGGACAGAGCTCCTTTATCACAGAGATAAACATGATGTCCCTCTCACATAGAGTTTCTATCATGTGTGACCTTTCATCTTGAACTGCCATGACCTTTTTTTTTATTAATGCTGTACTGTGCTGCTTGCAGAAGCCAGGAAAGAAAATCTTTTGTTTCTAGATAGAATACTGCTAAAGGACATGATACGGTCTTGTTTTTAATCCAGCTAATTAAAATCTGCATGTGCAGTGTAACTGAGAATGCAGCCTTCGCCCACCACTTTCCCACAGGCAGGGAATAAAGGCCTTTAGTGCAGCAGCAGCTAGCCACCCTTGGATAACAGAGAACAGAGACCACAATTCATCCCAGCTTTCCTTATCATATTCGCAGAGGGCTTTCCCCTCCCTCCCTCCCTCCTCTTTCTCTCCCCCTCTCTCTCCATGGAATCACTTACTGTAGCTATGTGCCTCTATATATCACTGCAGAATGTAATCAAGTTAAAAATATGTGAGCTTGCATTTATCTATGCTCCAGTGAGCTTCAAATATAATTCATTTCTAGTGAAAAAAAAAAAAAAAAGAAAGAAAGAGGAGGGGTAGAAGGGGCGAATGAGAAAGAGAAAGAAAAAAGAGAAAGAAAAAAGAAAGAAAAAGTGTCTATTTCTAAGCAAGTGTCAACCCTACTTATTTTAAAAGAGTTCTGCCAAGAACTAACTGAATATCACAGTTTAGCAGTTCACACTTTTGTATGTTCATTATGTTGGCTTTTTTGGATTTACTGGATAGTTGTGGTTATTACTAAAGCTGCCTTTTGTGTGTGTTTGTGTGTCAGAAAGAGCGTGCCATGGAATTTGTTTCTTATGAAACATTTTCTTGGTTAGTTTTTCACTTGTTGGTTTTTGTTGGGTAACTGAAGTCAGGAGGGAGGAGGAAAAGGAGGGCAGCCTGGTGGTAAGGAGCAGTGAGGGCAGAATGGGAAGCATTAAAATTGAGCCCTCACCTGTTTTCTCTTTCTTCAAGTTATATTTTGGATGATGATGATGATGAAGTCATCAGGATGCATAAAAATGTGCCAGGAGATTCAAAACTTGGAAAGAGATTTTGTGACATGAGTAGAAAATACATTTCAGTGCATGTGCAGAAGCCCTTCCCCCAGAGAGGCACACAAACAGGCTTTCTGTGGTCATTCCCTGGTAACCCGCACAAAGAGCTGCTCAAACAGCTGTGCCTTTGGCTGAGCACCATCCATGGGGCTGCTGTGGAAAATGCTGATTTTGGGGCATTAACTTCCCCAACACAAATTCAGAGAAATATACTTACAAGTATTAATGGAAGGGATTGTGAACCCTGAATAAATATGCGCCGTGTTGGGAAATTATTCCCTTTATTGATCATAACAAAAGATTCATGTGTTCGTTGTAATGATTAAAGATATATGAAAAAGTGATAATTTGAATTCCAATACAACTTATTAGGTGACATCAGTCTAACTAAAGTACCTGAAAAATACCAAAATATTTTAGAAACAGAGAACAGTATTATTAAAATATGACAGAATATCATGCTGCCTATATATTAAAATATGCCATGTTGATGAAGCATGAGAGTGCTTTTCATCAAAATGTGGTTATCTTATGCTGAAAATTTGGTTATCTTATGCTGAACTTAAGCAGGAATAGAGATCTGTACACTTTTCTACTTTTACTACCTATAGAGGGACAATATTCAATAAGAAATAGCTATTACTATGCTTGTATAGTTCTGATATATTATGTTTATATACCATGGCATAAGTTTTTATGTATTTTGGAATTAGTGTCAAATCAGTAGAACAGTGACAAGAAGACATTTATATGTATTTTACCAAGTTAAGGTTTTCTGTTTCTCATCTTTTGAGGAATATATTCAATAATTGCTTTTTAATAGTAACACCTACTTTGACGCACTGAAAAGGTTGTTAATGTCAAGTCACATATTTGATATAAAATTAGTGTTTGCATATTGCATAAGCAATATAAGATTTATGAAGCTTCATGTATTCCATTTAAGTGGGCTAATCCTAATAAATACGGTATTTTTTATTGTTGCTAAGCAGTCTTCCTTAGACATAAAATTAATTTGTATTTTGGGGGACAATTACAATCTTTATGGGCAGAGCCAATGTTAAATTATGTCTTGTAATTCCGTGTAACTAATAACATAATTTAGGGTGGTGATTATTATTTTTGTCACTAATAGCTGTTGTTGTAGCGCACTTTTTAAGGAGAGGCCATATAATAACAAGAGCTGAAAATCAACCCATTGCTATGTTAGTCACACATGGCAAGCAGCATGGCATAAATTCCCTCTCAAAGTTACTGAAGGATGCTGAACATCAGGGCATGCTGAAGGTCAGGCTTAATAATGGGACATAAATCTCAGATCCCACAGTGAACATCAAATGTATTGAAAATCAGGATGTCTTTACTAAGTTCCTAAACCGCTTTATGCACTCAAAGCTACATTCACAAAGTTTAGCTTGTGATAGGACCCAGAAGTGTTTAGGAGGCTCTTGTCAATACACTTAATAAAAAGAAGACCAAAATAACATTCTGTAATCTCACATGTGGGACCTGAACCTGCACTTCTGCTGTTCTGATTCATCTGTGTCATCAACAACCAGGGATTCCTTGTTGGTGATTCCATGGAAAATAAGACTGTGACAGGAGGCTATACTTGAAATTCTGTATCAAGTTTTTGATAGTTTTCAATTCCTTTTTCAAAAATTTATTTCAAAGTTTTCAAATTTTCCTTGTTTATGCATCTACTTTTTATGTCACCTTTTTATTTACCTTGAGCACAACAGATATATTCTGATCTCTAAGAACTAGGAGGATATTCTACACTAAGTGAAAGCTCAGACTACCGAAGAGGCTGACATGTCATCAATGGCACTTATTTAAAATATTCACCTATGGCTGCAGAAATATCCCTTTTAAAATGACCATTCTTCTTTCCTATACTAACCTGATATCAAAGTAAGTATGTAAATCAGTGCCAAAAGGAGTGAAAGGAATAATTGTGATTAAATTCCTTTTGACACTGCAAATTCCCCTCACAATCTAATTCTCAGATTTCACTGCATCCCTTCTTAACAAAAGCTGGCTGGCCCAATTGTGCAGGAATGTTTTATAAGTCTATGAAACTAAGGGCTGGTTAATCAGGCCCTTTCTGCAAGCAATAAAGACCAAGGCAGAAATGCTGCAACCAAACTGATGATTCAGGGGGACAGTAGGAGGCAGCTGCTGAACTGCAAACATAATGTGAGTCACCTTCTCCCTCACTCTTGAATGAAAAAAAAAAACCAAACCAAAACAATAATATGATTAGAAATTACTTTCTCTACCCTCAGATTGAAGGAAGAGAGTGTCAGCCCGCCCATCTGTCCTTGCTTAAATAACTAGGTACTTTTATTACTGGTGGTGGATGGAATGGTATAGCCACATAGCTCTGGAAATGGAAAATGGAAGAGTAATGCTGACTAAATAATCATGCCAAAGTCAAGTCTCACTTACTAAGATTAGTTCTGTGTGAATGAAAACCAACTTGGAACCTAGAATTTAGCTTTCTGCAACAGTGTAGTCACAACAATAATCCAAAAAAATAATACGAACATAGGGCCAGCACTCATTAGTTATAAATAATTAATTATCAGCAATAGGAAGTCTGTGGGAGCAGCGGGAGCCCAAGGCTGGTGCCCAGCAGGTACCTGGCAAATGAAATGTGATAGGCACACACCGTGTCCTCTCCCCTTGCCAGGCTCGAGTGAGAGGTGCAAACTACTGAAACAAAACAGGGGAACTACTTGCTGTTCTAAAGACATTATAAAGAATTCTTCCTACTTATTTATCTCCTGTGTGTCAGTAAGATCCCAGGTGTTTTTATAGAACATGATTATGTGCAGAAGGAGCAAGGTGAGCTTCCATTCAGTTTAGCATTAAATTGAAAATGGGTCCTTGCAAGCTCTTCGTCTCTACCTGTGGTAAGAAGCCTTGAACACCTGTAAAGAAAAAATAACTGAAATCTGTTTTTCTAAATTCAAGCCTGATGCTGTTCCCATTCATATTGGTTGGATATTGATTTGCCTACCTACTCCAACATCAGGTTTTTCTCTTTCTCTGCAGGAAATAAAGTCCTGAACTGTACCTTCTACATAAAATCAGGAAGACAGTTTTGGATAGATAGAGTATCCAAAGTTCAGTTCTATGAAATTGTGCCCACAAGCAACTAGCCAGAGTTTGGCTCTCTCATTTTGTTCACTTCCTATAAGGATGGCAGTATTATGACATTTAATATGAATGCAATAGTCCAAAGAAAAACAAAATAACATGTTTTGCACATTTTCTTGTACCAAGGGATTACCATTTATTGCTGCAGTTATTTAGAAATACTCACATACATATATGTAGCCTTTCTAATTTTCTCAAAAGAAATGGGAACAGGATTATATCTGAGCAAGCTAGCTAAACATTTACTACTGTGACTAAAATAATTTGTGGTTCATCTCAGTTTTACCTTTTTGTTTACTAAACATTGGATAGTTTCTCTCTGACAAGTACTGTGCACGTGCATGGCCAAACACTTCTACCTTGCTCCCTATCACTGCAGAAGGATTGGGATAACTCTTCTGTTTGCACTAGATCAGGTAGGACATTGGTAGCAGCAGACCTCTTACTTTGGGTTCCAAAGAGTTCAAATGTGCTAGGTGCATCCCTGACAGCATTAACCTATAAAAAAAGAATAGAACATCCCTAAAAGTTTCATTTCAAAATTTAGCCAGCATCAAATCTGGCCTAATCTGTTTTTTCAGAGGCAAACATGAGTTCTTAGAAGAAAATACTCCTGAACACTCAGCAGTTGTTGAAGTTTGCCTCTGATGACATCTTTGGGAAGCACACTGAAACACCCCACAGGAACAAGGGATGCACAAAGCCTACAAGCTCTTTACCAGGTGGAAAAGGAAAAGTCATTCTGTAACAGCTAAGAGATGAAATGAAATAAAAGTGACACAGTTCAGCACACATGAACTTTCTGAATGAAGGTAACTGAAAGGTCAAGACAATCAAGAGAATAATCTGAGTGATCAGCAAGGTGGTGAGGCACACACCAAAAGTCAACTTCAGGTGTGCTTCCAATCAGCTGCTTGTTTTGAGAGAATATAGTTTCAGCTTAATTTTTTGCACCTGCAAGCTGGTTATCTGGATTAGCCTGATACTTAACATGTGCCCTGAGTATTTGCTCTCTTTTTTCTGAGGCTGTGTTGATGTCTGTCCTTGGTGTTTGGGCTTGGGGTCCTGTAGGCTTTGCTTATACATTACAACATTGTATGCCCTTTTCCTTGGCTTTGCTTCCAGAAATCTAGCAACAAACCTGTAAATTTTTTTTTGTTTGTTTTTCATTGTCTACCATTTTTTCTTCTGTAAGACGATACCGCTCATGTCTTGAAGGTCAGTAAATGTCCTTTAACTAAACCTGCAAATGCTCATCAAGATGCTTTGATTTCTTTTAATGTCTTTGAATTGCTTTCTTTTAATTTCTAGCTTTTGTATTATCCTCATCTTTTATCTCAAATGCTTTCCTTTAGCTAGCAAGATTTTTGATTTCTACTTTCTGTGCTCTCTCATATATTTCAAAGTGCTTGGAACATTATGATGCTTTACAAGAGTTCTTGCTTAGATATGCTTTTTCAGAGACTCAGCTGCTCACACCATGTTTTTTCCTAAGAGTTTTTTTTATTTTGGTGGTTACTACCCTGACAGATGGAATTCTTGACTCTTCCATTTGAATTGGGTAAGTAATCTAAAAAAAGCTAGGTGGCCTTGGTGTCGCTTGTGAGGTTGGGATTTAATTTCTTTCTTTATTTACAAACAACCAAGAACTTTATTGGTTTCTATAGTGAAGATGGAAATATTGCCATTGGAGCTAAACTGAGGTTCAGGAGGGACAATTGTTTTAAAAACAGTGAATTTAGGAGGCAAATGTAAACTTTTTTTAGTGTGATGAAACATAATGCATTCCTTTGAAGTATTCTTCAAAAAATGAGAAGTATTAATTAACCATGCTTTGAATGTAGTACATGAGTTGACATTTCATTTCTGACTTTGACTTGATTAGCTGTCAAAATACTATTAGTTATAATACTATTTAATTTTTTTTTTTAGAAATTGTTTTTTGCTGCCTTGGAGAAGATCATAACATAAATTCAGGCAGTTGTGAAACCCTTCCTTCTATTTCTAAGCATTTATTCTTGGAATAAATCCTGCTGAAGTCCCTGGGAATAAGGGATGATCTGGCCCATGATATGGGAGAGTTGCTAGTCTTATTTTTACCATAGCTGTGTCTTGCCTGGTATCCTGCATTGTGTCTGTCAGGCTCACTATGGAAATAAATTTTCCTTTGTCAGTGTCTTGTTGGTAGTTTTTAATAAGTCTTAGAAGATTAAGGAGACACAGTCTTCTCTGTAGAATGCTGATTTGACTCTGTGGCATCCTGAACATCCAGTCATTTTATTATTTTGCTTTTAATGACTATTTCAAAGTAATGCCTTGAACAACAAGAAGACTCTTCTAAATAAAGCTACAACCCTTGTTCTCTCTAGTCTTCTGAAACAGTTGTTTTAATTTTAGTAGTCGGAAATTTTTGTTTCCTCACAATTTGCATGTCTTGTGGGTCCAGTAGTTTTTAAAAAGTTTCATGTATTGGCAAGTCAAAATTTTGCACAGTTGCTCCTCTTTATTTAAAATCCAAACAAATGTTTCCCCACGCCAAAAAAGTGGACTCCCAAAAAAATCCCAAACCTAAAACAAAACAAGGAAACCCAATAATTATTAATTCCCTAATATTCTGAACAAAGAAAATTGATGCATGAAAATAATATAGCTCTCCAACAAAATGCCACAGATTTTCTAATTGGTTTCTTTACGTCCTTCTATTCCAGTGCCATCACTGAGTGTTGCATGAGCTTTTTACTTCTGATGGACTTGTTTTTTTTCCATCACCTCTCAGCTTGTGATAAACCCTCCAATTCATGCCCCAGCTTCCTGTTCC